AGACTGTTTCTTCAAAGTTTAATTTTTATGTTTCAAAGCTACAGTGATCACATCAGTGTTAGCAGAAAGTCATGTGGCTTCTAAGCCACTGATTGTGGACTGCTTGCTTTACAGATATAGAAGGATTTACCATGTAGCTAAAGGTTTCTTTTGCTGAAAGTGTTTTGAAACATATGAAAGTTACTCCATAATGCTTCCAAATCCCTGGTGCCCCACCTGTGGCCCTCCTTACCTAGATGCTTAATGTAATTGTAAACTCAATTTATTTATGTGTTTTAAATAACAGACAGGTTTATACTTACCTGCTTTGTGCAATGGAATTGCACAGAGCGGACCGGATCCTCCTCTGAGGAGTGAGGGTTCAGGAAAGTAAAAGTGGAGGCAAGGGGGGATACTTTTAACTAAACATATTTTACCTTATGGAATGAAATGCATTAAGGTAAAAATGTTTAGGTTTTAGAACCACTTTAAACTGGTCATTCACTGATACTGTGTGTTACAGTCCCTCCTCAACAGCAGTTGATTGATGGACTGACTTCTGTAGAGCAGACAAGCTAGAAAGCTTTTCTCAATCAGCTGCTGCAGCCAATTGGGAGCAGTAGGAGCTGCTGTCAGAATACATTGTTGAGGGGCATGGGGGATTCCTCCATCCACCTTGATTGTCTAGATGGAGAAATCGTTTTTTTTTTTTTTTTCTCTAAGGACTCGTTCACACTTGGCTGTTTTACCAACGCTTGCCAAACGCCCCTATAGAGTTTGGTAAGCGTTGGTCCGGCGTTTGCGGAGCGTTTTTTAACGCTCGGCAAACGCTCCACAAACGCCACATGCGCGGTTTAGCGGTGGTTGCTAGTTGTTTGCCGAGCGTTAATAACGCCCCACAAACGCCTTTAATGCAGTTTGAGTGGTGTTACCGCTCCGCAAATGCCCCGCAACCACGTCGCAACCGCAGCAAACGCCCGTTTAGACGAGAATAGAAGAGAATAAGGCTTCAACGCCTCCTGACTTGACCAGAGGCGTCCCTTTTGCCGCGACGCAAACGCTCCCGTTAGAACACCACCATGTGCTGTAATGTGCAGGATTGGCAGAGGAATTTGGGAAGCGGTAAAAACGCTTCCCAACCGCCTCTCTGCCGCCTGCAAAAAACGCTAGTGTGAACGTAGCCTTAGAGTGCATAGCCAGCTTTATTCAAGCTAGTAAATCCACTACTCATGTTTGTGTTTCTCCAGCCTATGACTGTTTCCTGAACTCTGCCCCAGTCTCCAAAAATTTCTATACAGTCTCTGACCATTCTTGCAGTATGTTTGCTGTCTTTTGACAATGTTTTTTAGCATACTGTAGTTTCTGACCATTTTTTTTTGGCATTACATTCCCTGAATGCTGCGTGGCTTTTTGGTGGCCCACTTTATCAAGAAAATTGACCATCACTGTTCCATATTATCTTCACAGTCTTTGTCAGAACTCTCTTCCCTTACTGTTTTTGTGATTTTGTCTAAAGCTGGCTAAACATGGCTTGCTTCTTTTCCCTTTTTTTTTTTTTTTTTTTTTTTTTTAAATCAGCCAGCTGGCCAGCTGAATGGGAAAAAATAACAAGTCAAAATTATTTCTGACCTTGCATTTCTTTTCTTTTCCTGAGCCCGCTACACAAATTCACACTACATGGTTTCACTGGTGGGACTTCTCCTACTCTGAGTATAAACTACTTGCTGGCTCGACCCCCTCAATTCGCTGTGCCTTAACACACAAGAATATCGGACGAATGATTGTCCATTTTGTTTTTTCTGGAGGGGTGGGGGGGGGGGGGGTTGGATGCTATTCTCATATCAAAAGTGAAGTAGTTACTAAAGTTGCAAAAATTATTGTATCTAAATTTGAAACTTATGCAATGTATTTGTATTGTACTGATTAACTACCTCCCGTCCGCCGTATTGACAAATGATAGACACAGGAGATCACCAATTGCGGTAAAGAGCCGATGACGTAGGCTCTTTACCACGTGATCAATTGTGTCCAATCACAGCCGATTACATGTAAACAGGAAATGCTGGTTATTGGCAGTCAGAGGAGAGCCAATAAGCAACAATCTTCACAGGAGACATCCACACTGATAAGCAGGGCACTGATAATCAGTGCCCTGTTTATTAGTGCTGCCTCTAAGTGCACATCAATGATGCCCTTCAGTGCCTCTTCATCAGTGCAGTTTATTAGTACCCTTAGTACCCATCAGTGCCGCCTCATCAGTGAAGGAGAAAAATTGCTTAGTTAAAAAAATTTATAACAGAAACTAAGAAAAACGTTTTTTTTTTTCTTCAAAATTGTTTGGTCTTTTTTTTGTTTGTTTTTAGCAAAAAATAAATTTCAGTGGTGATTAAATACCACCAAAAAAGCTCTATTTTTGTCAAAAAATGATAAAAATTTCATATGGATATATAGTGTTGCATGACCCGCTCAATAATCATTCAAATTGCGACAGCACTGAAAGCTGAAAATTGTTCTGGGCAGGAATGGGTGTGAAAGTGCCCAGTAGGCACATGGTTAAATGAAAATTGTACGAGAAACATTTTCATGCTTGTCCCCTCTAATGATTTCAGATGAAAGCTGTGTACTAACAATCAGATTATCGTACGATCACTTCAAAAGCGGTATTTTTTTTGCACGATTTTCTGATTATGCGTACTAGGCTTTAGTGCCCTGCTTCCATTCTGCCCCCTTTCTGTTAACTAACGCACTTCTCCAACTTAATGGTGCCTTCATAATGTGGTGATGTTTGCACGGTGTTCCCTCCCATCTGGCGCAATCAGTCAGTTAGCTCCTTTCCTATCTCTTCCCCTTTTCCAACTCTATTTCTTCCTTATCCCTTCCCTGCCATTTAGATTACTCCCTCTAGTTAATCCCCCTCTTCCTTGGATACCCAATTTAGTGAGCCCCGGATGACAACACTACATACCGTGTTTCCCCGAAAATAAGAATTTTATTTGGCTCAAAAAAAAACACACTAGGTCTTACTTTCGGGGTAGGTCTGAGGGGGTGCAGAGGTGAGCTGCAGGCAGTTGTGGATGAGGGTTACTATGGAGACGGCCGGTTGATGACAGTTGGGAGCTGCAGTCAGGTGTTGCAGGGGTGATTTGACAGGTGAGTTTCAGACAGGGTGCAGATATGAGCCACAGACAGGGTGAAGGGGTGAGTTACAGATGGGGAATGCAGAGGTGAGCTGTGGCCAGGGGGGTGCAGAGCTGAGCTGTGGCTGGAGGGTGCAGAGGCAAGCTGTGGGCATGGGGTACAGAGGTGGGTTGCATCTCAGCTCACCTCTGCACCCCCCCCCCCCCAGCCGCAGCTCACCTATGCACCCTGTCTGCAACTCACCTGACTCAATTTACCTCTGCAACATCTGACTGCAGCTCACCTTTGCACATACCCCCTCCCCCTCCACTGCCCTCATATGGTTAGCTAGCTTTGCAAAACACAGCTGTCAGCAGCCGGCCCCTCTCTATAGTAATTCCCATTTCGGGTCCTATCTTCCCACACAGTGCACCAAGCGCACTTACTCACTGCTCCACCTCTTCCCCACTGGCCAGTGATCACCCCTGGGGCATCGGCTTCCATGCATTAGGCTGCAGGAGGAGATGCCCCACCCCTAAATACACTGCATACTGCACCCGCAGATATCTGTTCCTTCCCTGTTCCACAGTGAGTACAGAGGTAGGGAGGTTCTGTGGGAGCGGATGGTGCTGTCACTTCAGCCGTGCTTTCTGTGTTTATAAGAGACAGTAGATATGGGTGTGCGCAGGGCCAGTGCCGGAGGAGGCGGAATGGCGTTTCACCACATTCCGGCTGAAATAAAGCCCTGATCACAACTAGGTCTTATTTTCTGGGTAGGTCTTATACTTTAGCAATTCCAAAAATAGCACTAGGTCTTATTTCGGGGGTAGGTCTTATTTTAGGGGAAACAGGGTAGTTCTATTCTTTTTATTTGCTGCCTATACCTATAACAAACTGTGTTGCCATACTTACTACTGAACCTTACGTACCTTAGCTGTGCCTTTTATTTGAGCTTCAGTAGAACTATATACAATGTTACCTCCTTGTTTTCTAGGGGCTTAATGATCATATTGCTAACTCTCATGCCAAAGATTGTGGTTGTCCTTATATCTTCACACTTATGGCCAGCTTTATTAAAGCTAAACTACACTGTATCTGAACGCCACACACCAAGAACGTATTTATTTCATTTTTAATATTCAATGTAAACTCCCCCATCCATGTTTCCATGCTGAGAAATTGCTTTGAACCCCCCCCCCCCCCCCGGTATATCTGGCCATGGTCATCTTGAGTAAGGGCAGATGATTCATGTAGTAGTTACCTTCTTGAATTCATCTGCCCTTAGCTCAAGCATGCAGATAGGAAGGGTGTGTTTAGCTGCAAAATCCCCTCCTCCCCTCCTGTAGACTCCTGGGATGTATGACTATATTATGGCTTAAGTTAGAAGCCAGGAAACAACTAAATAAATGTAAAAAAAAAAAAGTTTAAAACAAGTAAATATGACATACTTTCCTATCTATTATAAAGATGCTAGCAACATAAGGATTACAAATAGTTCATGTAGAGTGAAGAGTGAAGCTCCGCTTTAAGAAGGGGAGTTCAGACAATCTTTGCCTGCTGACATTTTGACAACTTTGCTTGAAAACACACGTCATTTTTTATATATGACTTGTCATTTTCTTTATACTGGTTATGTTATAATGGTGCAAAATTGTAATTTGGTTTATGTTGGCAATATAATATAGGAGGCTGGAACAATGACATTAGATATAAACCGAATTGCTAGCTATGTGTGTGTCTTCTTTCATTTTAAATACCTGACGCCAATTTTGGAATTATCAACTCCCAGATCACTATTACATATGGCAAATAAATAATAATTCCTTTACACAGCAAGAACTTGTTAGAGCTATTTGACCTTCTTATAGGTAATACAAATTGACTTCTCTTTTATCTTTACCCAGCGGCAGGGAGTTGGTGAGCCCAGTGTCTACCATGCGGTGGTGGTTATATTCCTAGAGTTCTTTGCCTGGGGTCTGCTGACAACTCCCATGTTAACGGTAAGTAAGCTCACCACCCAGATCTGCTGTAAATACTACATACTTTTCAGGAGAAGGTAATCTGGTGTTTTTCTTACAGGTACTGCACCAGACCTTCCCACAACACACATTTTTAATGAATGGTTTAATCCATGGAGTTAAGGTAATGACATGGCAATGTGTGCCTATGCACATAAAACAGCTACACATTACAGCTTTAGTTTCTTGTGTGTATCTATGCCACCCTAATTCTGCCTCAATTCTTCAGGGACTTCTCTCCTTCCTTAGTGCCCCCCTCATTGGAGCATTGTCAGATGTGTGGGGCAGAAAGTCATTCCTTCTCCTCACTGTTTTCTTCACCTGTGCGCCTATACCTCTGCTCAAGATCAGCCCGTGGTATGTAATGAAGTCGTAGGTAGCTAGCAACAATGTTTTATCGTTTCTCAAATGTACAGCAATTTACATTTCTTTTAGCCACAGTGATAAATGAGACTGCATTTCCCTCTTTTCATTTCTCTATTTCTTTTGATATATATATATATATATATTTTATATATATATATATATATATATATATATATATATATATTTTTATATTATTTTTTTTTTTTATTCTTTGTGAATTTGTATTTCTATATACAACTTATATAGAGAAAGTATGTTTGTCTATTATATTAATGCAGAATGTTCATGTCTTTCTTGCTATCAATATTAGTTATGAATGTGGGATTATGGATTAACTTGTTATCTTAATTTTCTGTATACAACTCTCTGATGCTTTTGGGATTTCCTACAGGTGGTATTTTGCAGTGATTTCTATGTCGGGTGTCTTTGCTGTCACATTCTCTGTGATCTTCGCTTATGTGGCTGATATCACCCAGGAACATGAGCGGAGCACAGCATATGGCCTGGTGAGCTCTACATGTTTTTATTTATTAATTTTTTTATTCTTTAAAGTTCTGTTTTATTAAGTTTTTTGAACAATACAAAAAGTGTCCATGCAGGGGCCCAACACGGCATGTTACAGTCAAATAGAGAAACAAAAACTGAAAGCAAATACAATATCTAGTGTGTTTGGTTCGCATCTTGACTAAAACATGAGCACAAGGAGATATGTATAGTACCCAGCTGGGTCCCCCCCCCCCAGCCATCCCCACCTTGTTACCAATTCGTAAGTATCAAAAGCAGTATCGGAGACTCAGGAGGTATCAGACGTCAATGCAGTAGAATCATCATCAAGCCATTTCGATTATACTTTATTGAACGTTTTGGGACAACCCCTATTATAATAGGTATCTTTGTACATTGGGAGGCTAAGGTTAACCAGCTGTTTCCAGAATGCCACTGTAGGTGGGGTAGGCTTTTTCCGGGTGAGTGTGACAAGCTCTACATGTTTACCTCCAAATTTATTTTTTAATCTGTTCTGCCACTCTTGCAATACATATACTCCTGCTAGCTCACATATTCAGGCTCTTGGCTTCAATGCAGTTATGCAGTACAGCTTGGTCAAGGACCTTCCCTGGTTTGGTGAATGGATAGTAAAGAAACAACAACACAATGATGATGTCATCCTTGTATTCTCTCCTCCTGTAAGTATATTCATAGTGTTTTGACTGGCACTACTATACAAGGTAATAGAGCTCAGGTTGGCCCATACTACTGACTCACTCTTTACAATACTAATATCTGTTGTTCACTGGATTACAGGAAGGTAAAATAAAGGAAAAATTACAGTACCAAGATGAATGATTTGTACTAATGTGTTTGGGTTAAGAGTCTTCTTAATTTAAGGAGACCTCTCAAAATGAAATTTACGTATTGATTTTAGTGCAAAGATGTCTTTTACAGGACGCAGGAGTAATGGAGCCATACTTTGATAGATTTGAATGGCTTTGCGAGCATTCTTGTAGCTCATGCTGATAACACTGTTCAACAACATTTTTATTTTTTGCCAGTTTTGGAAACAAAAGGATCCATTTCTTAATGAATTTCACATTCTGAGTTCAAATATAACAATGAAATTTGTCAATTGGCTCTAGTTTTTCTGTAAACGGAAAGTTTTCTACTATAGGCGTAATGACTACATAATGCACAATAATTATATAGATAGATGTCTTTCCACAAATATAAAGCAAGTGATATTGACTACATAACAAAGCCTAAATGGCATAATATATTGCATAGGATTACCAAGAAAAATTATAGCCATAAGCTAAGTTGAATCATTTTAATACTTAGGATTCTCACTAGTTTTGTCTTCAGTTTGTGTCGGTTTTGCTTCTCTTGGCTTTTCTCTTGTATTCGAGGAAAGGGCTATCTCTTACAACTGCACGTGACTACACGCTTCAGGTTCTTCCTCACTTGACTCAACCACGAAGGATTCTGGTGCTTTAGGAATTGGTAGCCCCTCTCCATGAGGAACTGGCCGTATTGCCGATGGAATATTTGGATAGTGCACAGATAACTTTTTCTTCTTATTTAGCCCTTTTACAATTGGAGGCACCATACAAAAGTAACAATTACTAACATGATCTGTTGGCTCTCTCCAAATCATTGGCACAGCGAAAGGCATAGATGCCTTTTTTCCATTCAACCATTGCTCCAGTGCCGTTCCACAAGAATTGCAGCATATATGTGGTGCCCAGCTCTTGTCCTGGTCTCCTATCTTGCAGCCAAAATACAAGTTGTAGGTTTTCTTAATCATTCCTGTTATCCTCCTTTTTTGTGAGATAAAAGTTATTTCACCGCAGATATAGCAGAAATTATCTGCTTTATTCACACAAGTTCGAGGCATTACTGAGTAGCCTATATAAGCATAAAACGAAATGTAAAGACGCTGTCAAACTACAATCAGCTACAGATACTGCAGCTTTTATGCAGTGAAGTGATGCAATTAAAGGCTAATATTGCATCATCTCAGTATACATGCAATTTTCTATTGGTCACCAGTATGAATTGCGCAATATGCAGCTGAAGTTGCATCATAATTTTGAATGGCTTACGTCATTAGATGGGTGAATATATCATGGAAACTAGAGCCAATCAACATTTTTTAGGGTCATTTTCGTTTTCAGCACCCCAAAATTATGTAAGATTAGCTAATTTTATGCCCAAAACTTTTTACCTGTTGAACAGTGTAATTGTTTAGCTTCGTACGAACTGGCCACTAAACATGTATGGCTGGTTGCTCCGCTATTGTACTGGGATGATGTACTGGTATATCTTGCAGGAGCTGAACATCTGTGAGCCCCTGCTTGCATACAGTCCAGTGATTGGATGCAACGGATCATGGACAAAAAGGTACAGATTCAGTGGGTTTGACTCTGTGCCATGTGATTGCTGTGATCAAGCATCACATAATATCAATACAGCCCCCCCCCCCCCCCCATTGTCATTTCCCTCTGTGTCAGCTCCATCCTGTCTTTGATCTGACCTGTATATTAACACCTCACCTGTTTTATCCTGCACATATGTACATTAACCCTATTCATCTCTATCCCTCCACTGTATGTGACCCATACATTAACCCCTTCACTTCCTGATCCCTCTGTATATTTCCTGTGCATTTAATGTATCTAATGCACCATCATCTGGTGCCACGTTTTAATCCCTTTAATACTGGCTTGTTTCTTCTTTTCCAAATAAATTATACCAAAAAAGCAGATCACCTTGTCGATTTCTACTTTCCAAAAGCTGGCAGTTTTTTTTTTTTTTTTTAAACTGCCCTGACATTTTCATTTTCTATGTTTCTAAAGAATAAGAGAAATTGAGTGGGTCTTTTTTCTTTTCTTCTTCAATGTTTTAGGGCCAGTTCACAGCATGAATTGCTCAGGAAAGCATTGTGCATTACTATGTGATTCATATGCAATCTGTGTGCTGTGTGAGTTGAATTAGCTGAAATCACGCTGAACCGCACCAAAAATAGTGCATGCACTATTTTACAAAATGCAGAGGCTACTGTACCATGCAATCTGGTGCAGGGAAACACTGTGTTTGCGACCTGTGTTTGGGGTATGGCTAAGTTAACACTGGCACTTGCTGCACAACATAACTGCAGTGCATTCTGAACACTGTGCTGGAAACTATCATGGAACACAGGGATCCTGATCCGCATTCTGGTGTGAACTGATCTTAAGTCTTTAGGACACAACCTGGAGAGAAAGTTGCTCCACCCATTTTCCCAGGAAACACTGTGATCTCAATCTTTAAAAGGCAGGACACTTTCACCGTGGCCTCAGTTGTAGTGTTTCCTCCGCCATGGTGGGAACCATGGGTGGTGCTGTGCTCTCCCCAGGTGCAGGAGATTTCGTTGCATACCTTTTTTTTTTTTTGCTTTCATTTGTTAGATGGGACTGTTCCAGCACCCCTCTGATGGGTTGGGTGGGGGTTCCGGAGTTCTCTTCCCCTTTTCCTGCCCAGCTTGGGTATTGGCCGGCTGGGGGTCTACAGCTTCTGATCGGGGATGCGGGGCCCTGGAGACTGGTGCAGGGTTTTCATATCTCTGGGACCAGGACAGCGGGTGACGTCACATCCGGGGGAGGTGGGACGTCCGGCAGGACAGGAGCTGCCCTGCACTCTCAAGGTGTACTTCTGTTAGAAGTGCGAGTGGGTGGCAGATGCTTTGTCTGTGGGGCTGTACAGGGGGGGGGGGGGGGGGGGGGGGTCTGGACTGATTTTTTTTTTTTTTTCCCCGTGTTCACGGTCTTGTAGTCTGTTGCTTGTGTTTTTGACAGGCAAAAGCCATGCCTCCTTCACCTTCAAAAAAAAGTGTCCCTCCTGTAAAACCACCCTCAGGATTCCTGGTCTAATTGTGCAAATCTTGTATAGCAATATATAGTTTGATGAAGCAGGAATCTTCCTTGAGGTGCAAGGATATAATAAAGAATAAAAGCCCCAGTAAATATTAAACACCACCAAAAGAAAACACTATATGTCTCAACAAAATTATTTAAAATTCTAGAACAGGGTTTCTCAACCAGGGTTCCGTGGAACCCTAGGGTTCCTCCAGAGGTTCCAGGGGTTCCTTGAGCAATGAGGATTTTTTTTGTTCCCACTGACACCATTGATCTTTTTAGCAATCTGTAAGGGAGTAATTCTTTCCAATGACCATAAGCGTGAGGAGCATGTTTCATGAATTGTAGATAGTCAGTCATTTTAGCAGGGGTTCCCTGAAACCGGAAAGTTATGTCAAGGGTTCCTCTGCGTTGAGAAAGGCTGTTCTACAAGTACTTTGAGTACGATGAACACCGTTGATATTAGATCAATATGTGGGGTCCTGTATTTTTTATGCAGTGTTTAGCTGTAGCACATTAGAATCTCCCCAGGGATATCCTTGCGGTGAATTGTGTGCACCTTTTTCCTATTTATGTGTCTCGTATTTATAGAAAAGATGCCTTGTACTAGTAATTGTTTTGAAATGAAAAAAAAAAAAACGAGAGAAAATTAGCATGTTAGATTCTTCATTATATAGTTGGTAAATGTATCATTTTACTAATATGTGTGTGGTAGCAATAGTAAATTGGCAAAAAAACATACCTCTAATTTATGACTTGCTGCCTCCCCTCTCACCTTTGTACATGATATATCTGGTAATCGCTTTACATACAGCAATATTGAACATGTTGGTAAACCTGCCTTTCCACTTGTATTCTGTGCTTCATAATAATGTGTTGCATCTGGCTGGCAGCATTAATGTTCTCTGTACTTCGCATTACAATAACAGTAAATAAACTTATGTATGCCAAATGTTCTTACTGTTTATACCCTTCTCAGAGCTAGGGAATGGGCACTATGCAGATCACATAGCAATGAATATTTAATGCAAAAACATTACTACTATTGACTCCTGGTTTTTCCAAGGAGCCAAACATTGCAATTCTAACTACATTGCACCTGCTTTTAAGCCATCTAG